TGCAGCTTTCCTCTATTCTCCTTGCTGATTGGCTGTTGGGATTTAACTGGCTTAACTTCATTTACACCTGCACAGAGCCATGCCATACTGACAGTATGTCTGTATTCAAGTGTTTTGGTAGGTATTTTAAGCTTTCCTGCTCCAGCATTGGAATGCGGGCTATGAACGCTTCTTTTTATCTTGAAAATCAACAGTTTGCATTATGCAATCCTAACCAATAATGTAGGGAATAGCTATCCAACTGTTGTAGTCTTAGTTGTATGTTACTTCATACTATAGTTATATCAATGTAAAGCATTGTTTTCCCTTGTGTTTCTCATTCTTTCCCTGCCATGTGGTAAAATGTGGTGAACCCATCGCTATATTTGCTCCAAAGCAAATATTGGCCTTTCTAGTTTTTTACTATGTTTCTGCTTGTCCCTTTCGTCTTTGAAAGTGCAACCTTTGGAATCCTGAATTCTCTTTTTTTTTAAATCCATCTTTTTTGTAATTGTAAAACTGTGCTATAGATATAAATGCCTGCCTGGCTAATCCGTGTGACGCCCAGGCCACCTGTACGGATAATCCTCCTCCTGCCCTTGATGCGACTTGTACCTGTAACACTGGATATACAGGAGATGGACTCGTCAGTGGAACTGGATGTTCAGGTAAAATGTATTCCATCTATAATGTAAACATACACTCTATGGTACATTTAATGGAAATATAACCTGGGTGAAAAGATTTCTTTGTTGACAGTTGATAATACTTTGCTCTTCAAATGAATAACCTTTAAGATTATTGCATTATTTTTTTACATGAGTATGTCATTTAATATTTTTATTTTTTAATAAAAATAAAAAAATAAGTCATTAATTATGTTTACCAAAGGAATACATATTGTTTTCTCTCAGTTTCTTCTTCTTTTACAGTGACCTCTGACCTGACCAATGACATGATTTGTATACATCTGTCACCACAGTGACTGGTGTTGGGTTATATAATGTTGCAATTTCATGGTCTGCTCTGCTCCTGTCACCATATACTACTAGTAGTACATGTATGTGAATGTGTTTGAGTAAGAATTAACAGAACAGACCAAGTCCGAAGGTAAACATTATGCATTTGCTTTGCAAACATTACTTCTCCAGTATTTTTCTTATTTTACATCTGTTTAATAGACATAGACGCCTGTCTGGCTAATCCGTGTGACGCCCAGGCCACCTGTACGGATAATCCTCCTCCTGCCCTTGATGCGACTTGTACCTGCAACACTGGATATACAGGAGATGGTCTCGTCAATGGAACTGGATGTTCAGGTAAAATGTATTCCATCTATAATGTAAACATACACTCTATGGTACATTTAATGGAAATATAACCTGGGTGAAAAAATTTCTTTGTTGACAGTTGATAATACTTTTCTCTTCGAATGAATAACTTTTAAGATTATTGCATTTTTTTTACATACTAGTAAGTAAGTCATTTAATATTTTTTTTAATAAAAATAAAAAAATAAGTCATTAATGATGTTTACCAAAGGAATACATATTGTTTTCACTCAGTTTCTTCTTCTTTTACAAACAGTGACCTCTGACCTGACCAATGACATGATTTGTATACGTCTGTCACCACAGTAACTGGTGTTGGGTTATATAATGTTGCAATTTCATGGTCTGCTCTGCTCCTGTCACCATACACTACTAGTAGTACATGTATGTCAATGTGTTTGAGTAAGAATTAACAGAACAGACCAAGTCCGAAGGTAAACATTATGCATTTGCTTTGCAAACATTACTTCTCTAGTATTTTTCTTATTTTACATCTGTTTAATAGACATAGACGCCTGTCTGGCTAATCCGTGTGACGCCCAGGCCACCTGTACGGATAATCCTCCTCCTGCCCTTGATGCGACTTGTACCTGCAACACTGGATATACAGGAGATGGGCTCGTCAGTGGAACTGGGTGTTCAGGTAAAATGTATATCTTTATTGTATTCGTGTATTTGAGTACACGTTCGTGCATTTAATTTAAAAATATATAGCCGGGATGATCAGATTCCTTTTCTATGGATAGTTTTTTTTTCATTTGTCTTTGAAAGCACAACCTTAGATGGCTGAACTCTCCTTTCTCACATTCATCCTTTTTCATTTTTTTCTTATTTTACACCTGTTCTATAGACACAGACGCCTGTCTGGCTAATCCGTGTGACGCCCAGGCCACCTGTACGGATAATCCTCCTCCTGCCCTTGATGCGACTTGTACCTGCAACACTGGATATGCGGATATTCCTCATTCTGCCCTTGATGCGACTTGTACCTTCAATCTCTTGTATGCAGGAGATGGTCTCGTGAATGGAACTGGATGTTCAGGTGTCATTTACATCAAATCTATTCCAGCATTACCTTCGTGGGCTGATTGACATATTGTTTGACTTTCTTACATCACCCTTTTTATTAATGCCGTTATACAATCATTATACAATCGTTATACAATCGTTTTTTCTCCCATTATATGTGCGTTTTAAACATAATCTAAAAACAAAATCTAAAACTAACGAAAATCACTCTAACCCATGCAGTAACAACCGCGCCCCCTAGGCCGATGCACCGGATACTGCACGGTGTCCGTGAAAATCTGCAGCTATTTTCCATGAATGACACTTCTACCGTGGCAGACTGGGAAAAGTGGAGAACAGGGAAGGCAGTTCCACGGGGTTATAAGAAGGAATGCAGTCCGTCTACTGGAGGTATTAGAGATTCGACTCGTCAAGAAACTTATAATGCATATGATGCTCATTTTTCATCAATATTCTTCTCAATGTTCACAAGTAAGCTTATGGTCAGTGGACACGAGGAATGAGTGTTGTACGGTCACATTTCTACTGAGTGATTTGTTTAATGATTACATTTATACGAGACAGGCATAACGATCAATATGAAGCCTTCATTTCAGAAAACACTGTTTCAATACCAACGACAAGTAAGAGTCATGTCTTGCCATTTTAATTAGATATTACATGTAGGTGGTTTGTAGTTCCTGTGTATATTTTTTTCACACATCTTAATGGAATAATTATCAAATTTTTCTTCTATTCAGTGACAGATGGCAAAGTCGAGGTGATCAGCACCGTGGCTGTTCTTGAAGTCGGCCCGCTCTCTGAAGCGAACTCGGTAAGTCTTGCGACAACAGTTTGCGATCGCAAGACGACCGCACGACATATGGAGATGTGACATGCAGAAACCCTTTTAAATAAATGCAATATGTATCCTGCCTCAAAATATTACTATATCTATATCTGTATCATCTTCTATAGAACATGACAGTGACGATTGAATACTCCATGGCTTGGGTTGACAATCGGCTTGCAGAGCTGACAAGTCAGGTGACTCCGGTATCCACTACCCTCCTATGGGTGCCCCCAGTCGCCTTCGGAAGAACCGTGCGGAGAGTCGCGCACATCAATGATGACGGCAAAAGGAACAGCACAATAAACATGTGGCTTCACCAACAAGGGATCATGTTCTATAAATTCACGTACGTACCCCGGAAAACAGTTACTCATGTGATGTTGGAAACGGTAAGATGTTTCAGGTATCCAGTAGACATAACTGTTTATGGCGTATCTTATTACCTTTATGTCTAACCTTCACCGACGTATCACGTAAATACTTCTTCACAAGTCGTCAAGCCACATATATATGTGTGGCAATTGAAAACGAAATATCGTCTTGATAGAAATCGTTTTTATAGTCTTGCTGATATTACAATGCAAGAGAGAGATTTTTGAAAACTGATACACAAGGCATTAACAGGTCTCTTTGACACCATTGTAGCCTATTTGTCTCATCTTAGGAGAAAGTTAGAGTTGATTTGTCCGCCAAGCCTAGAGAAATATCCATTTGACGACTTTGAATGCACCATCGAGCTTCATGGATGTAAGTGATTTCTTTCGTATTAATACATTATACTTTATAAGTTTCAACCTTTGTTCCTTTTTCACTCATGACTCCAATCAAGTGTTAAAATAAACATAAATGTGTCCCGTCTGTTTGAGATGATAATATTGACAATTTGCCTTTCATCTAGACGGTGGTCTCGTCTTCCCCTTCCGTCAGCCGTCCAAGTACAATAAAGCACAACCTGTCCACGTGG